CTCAATTCTTTCTAGGGATTGAAATCGAGCTATTTGAACAAAGTAAATAGAAGCCTTATGAGAAAAAGCATAAAATTGTTGATGTGCAGCTGTTGAAATGCAGTTGTGAAGGGCACATCTCGAACTATTCGGTCAGCAATTAGAATGGTAGCACATACTGTTCCGCATTTATCAATGCACATAGGGTAAGGAAAAGAACTGTGGATCACAGACTAATACCCGAACATATAAAAACAGGACTTTGAAGGCCATAGCAACAGGTAATAATAAGGGCAACAAGCTTCGAACCAGATAAGCTATGCATCATGTAAGGGCTATATGCATTGATTCACGCGTAACTGCATCATAATGAAAGCAAGAAGTACCTTTGCAAACGAATATTCATAATAATGACAATGAGAAGTTCAGATGCGAATGTGAACGGGTGCGGAATGTCATGTTCTTATGTTACAGACATCAACAGATCCGCACGTATATAGTAACTGCATTCTTACTTGGACATCACATCCAAGAATGGAACCGAATCAGTCTTAGGACATTTAGCTGATTTTGATTTTTGCTGTATTTTGTAAATGTTTTTGGTATCATAAAACTATTTCATTAATCTTTTTTGGCAGAGCTTTAAATTTCTATTATCGATATGGAACCAGCAGCTATTCTTAACGTTATCGATCAGGTGGTAATGGTTATTCAACAAACTGTGACAGACGTTAAAGCGAATTCGAATCAATGCAAGCGACTAGGAAACAGAATCGATAATATTACGTTGGCCTTGAAATCAATGAATAGTCAAGATCTAGAAAAACCAGAACTTCGAAAAATTCTGAATAACTATCGTACTTGTATTGAAAAATGCCTTGAATTCATTACTCAGTTTAAAGATGAAACATCATGGTTTTTGAAGATCTTCGAAAACCAAAATTACAAAAAGCAATTTGAACGATTAAATCTTCAACTAACTCGATGTGCCACTGATTTCAATTTGGGTATTGATTTGAAGCAAATTTTTGATTCTAAAGTTGATGAGAATGACCAAAAGATGGATTTAAATGTCATTCAATGTAAACTTGATGACATGGCATTGCTTATGGCACAACGACAAAATGAGCAATACCACTACTACAAAGGCATTGAACAAAATATTAATCAGCGGCTTAATTCATTTAAGCATCATCTCCAGCAGAATATAATAAGAAAAAGTGACGTTTCCAGAGAACAGAAAATCGCCGAAGAAGAACATGCCTTTCTCCATATTCCATATTACGATTTGATACAAGAAAAAATTATTGGACGAGGAGGATTTGCTGATGTATATCATGGAAGATGGCTTTCTCAAGATCACGAAGTCGCCATAAAAATGATTCGAATTCATTATTTGAATGAAAAAGTTAAAGGAGACCTTATGAAAGAAATTTCAATTATGTATCGAATTCACTATGATCATATTCTCGGCATATTTGGGGCTTGCATGGAACCCGAAAAATATGCACTTATCGTTGAGTACATGTCTCTTGGTTCTCTTCACGATGTTCTCAAAAACAAAACATTACAACTAACATGGCCTGATCGATGGTTGATTGCTGGTCAGATGACCAAGGGCATAAACTATTTGCATACACTTCCAAAACCAATTATCCATCGGGACATCAAATCACTCAACATTCTTATGACAAACAGTCTTAATGGTTTTCTTGTCAAAGTCGCCGATTTTGGCCTAGCGAAGATACGTCATGAAACGTCGCGTCAATCGTCTTATAACCCTTCGGTCGGCACTTTACCATGGAAAGCGCCTGAGCTACTGAAAATGGGAAAGCATACAGAAGCTAGTGATGTATATGCCCTCGGTGTTGTGCTCTGGGAACTGGGTACAAGCTATGAGCCATACGAGGAAGCTGATGATTCAACAATCAGTGCATTCGTTCTGCGAGGCGACCGATTAGATATTCCTACAAATATTCCAAGTTCATTTGCAGAGCTAGTTTCGAAAGCTTGGGCACATGAACCCCAGAAAAGGCCATCTTGCCAACAGCTTCTCAGTTTGATAAGACAAGTCTCTTTCGAACTCGATGCTACTAAAAAGTCAGAGGTAAGAAATCATACTCTCTTACTTTCATTGTCTTCAATTTTACATATGATTGAAAAAAACACATTCGTCTCAGAATTTTCGAAACTTTCCAATGTTGCCTGTCTTTTTACAGCAGTTGCATAAGACTAATGTAGATATCTGGCAAATTAGGCTGTGCATGAAGTTGACTCAACAATGTATTTTGAATTGGGTTCATCAATTGCATATTACATTTCTTTAGTACTCTAGATATTTATAATGGAGCTTTTGAAAATATGTCTTCATTTTTCTAGGCTACTGGTATGACTGACACAATGAAAACTGAAGCAATCACAAAGCAAGTTGATGAAACCATAGAAAAATGTGAAGTAACCACAGAGAAAATTGAAGTATCCGAAGAGAAAATTGTAACAGTCGACGGAAAACTTGAAGCAGCCTCTGAGAAAGTCGATAAAGTCGAATTAAAAGTAACAGTCGTCACTGAGAAAGTTGAGGCAGCTGAATCAATAGTTGCAGTAAGTACAGAAAAAGTTGAAACAACCTCGGTTGACGTTAGAACAGTCACAAAAACCGCTGATACAGTCGTAACCAAAACTCCATCATCACAACAATATAGCAGCAGGTACGTCTCATAATTTCTCCTCTATGATGATTTACCTCTTACCACCTGTTTCTAGTCCTACGAAATCGAATGAAACATCAAGCGCCATCGGTAAGACTCAAAAATATTGACGT